CTGTGTACAGGTTGATCCTCTGCAGCGTTTGTCCTGACCAAACAAGGGCTGGTGGGACCTGAGCTTCACAGGGACCCAATGTCTGTCCCGACTATTGTTTACCTCCACGGCTCCTGCTCCCGTGGCCATGTGTGAACACACGTGCATGTGTGTGCTGAGACTTGGTGCTCCTCAATCAAACGTGGGCAGAATTTAAACCAGGAACATGACTCAGGGCTGTGACTGCAGGCTGAGCCCAGGCAAGCCCTCAGAAACACTGGCAATCAGGTCATTTGTCGTGGGTCCTCTCCTACCTCCTAGCAAGCCTCCTCGGGCCCCAGTGTCCTTGATTGTAAATGGAAATGAATCATTCCTCTTGAGACCTATTTCACAGCACCGCACAAGGATCAAATGAGACAGTGTATGTTTGCGCTTTGTCTCTGCTACTGTGACACAGGCCAGACAGGCAGCCACAGAGCGGAACGATGCTCAGGCACAGGAAGGCACAGTAGTGCAGCATGTTTCAGTTCACGCTCACCTCAGCATACAGGGCTTCTGCTATATACCAACTTAGCCAGACCACAATTCCTTTTTGCTAATGTCCTCAAACTAATCATCCCATCTTCACCGCTTCCTTGAACCTATCTCTACAACACTTTTCACCCCAAACAGTTTACGCAGGTACTGGGAAGTTCTTTGAATGCTAATGCTTGTGGAGTTGACAAGGGAAAGGACAAGACATCAAAGTCCAGAAAGAGGTAAACATCAGAGACCCTGATGAGGTGGAAAGATAGAATACTCACATACACACCAAAAAAAAAATAGCAGAAGGGGGATAATAAGGAACCCCGAAGGACAGGGTCCCTGAGATCTGCACAGGGGATAACACCAAGTCACAGGACTAAGGGCAAGCTCTGAGTAAACCAGGGAGAATAGAAGGCATCAAACAGAACAGAGCCCACACTGGCAACCTGGCATCATCTAAGGTCCTTCAGCCTAACTGGACTAGAAGCAAGGAGAAAGGTCAAACAGACGAAGCAAACCGGCATGGCCCTGAAGCCCAGAGCTCTAGAGGAAGCAGCATCTCCAGATCTGCCAGGATCCAGCTGCAGCTTGGGATTAGTGGCCATGGCTTCAAAACTGAGGAGCTCCAGAAGTCAGAGCCATCATGAACTTCAGGAGTATCGTGGCCAAGAAATAAGGGAGAGAGATGAAAGAGACTCTTAGATCAGCCAACATCCTGGGAAACTAAGGATAGGAGAGAAGAGCTTACCCAAATTCACTGTCGGGGAGGAATCAGAGTGAGACCCAACATTAAGCTGCAGCCTGGGTCTTACCCCAGATCCCCAGAGGCAAGCCAGGTTATCAACTCCAGCTGCTGAGGCCCCTATGCACCACTAAGTGAGTGCAAGTACTTCTCCCCAGCTGTAAAATGCAGGGTTCCACCTTGGGGTGCAAGTCAGAGCCAGTGCCCATGGGAAATGCGCAACTGTGATATATGTGCACAGTCACAAGCAAACAAAGTGCTCATGTACTGTGCTGATGTGTGTGTGGCAGTGAGTCCCACTGTGTGGCTCCCTGGAATTGCGCAAAGGAAGCTAGAGAGAACCAGAAAGCAAAAACAGATAGTGTGGGAAACACACAACTTCATCATGTTAAAGGAAGGGATGTTAAAGGAAGACACCCAGACTGTAATCTCACGTAAACCCATCCCCAGATGAGGCATCCCTCAGAATACAAGAATCCAGACTTTCAGGGCATTAGAGGCTCTGCCACCCAGACAAGAAACTTTCATCCAGGAAAGGGCACATGTTAGAAGGATGTGCTTCACCTGAAGAGAAGGATGCAAGGGTGGCTGGCACCGTGAGTCCTGGCCCACTTTGGAGGCCCCACCCTGGGCCTTGCATTCCTTATTCATACAGCTTTGGCTAGCGTGTACAGACTCATGAGGAGACATTCACTAAGCACCCAGCACACTGGCCCATACGACTTTCTAGCAGCTGTGCGTTCACTTGTCCTTTCTCTCCAGTGAAGAAGGTGGTTACACTGTACTTCAGTTGTGCCTGCCTATGCTCTCCCTCTTGGCTGGGCTCTGCACACGTCCTATGAGGCAGCTCACTCACGCCTCTTATCCCTTGGGCATGAAAAGTAATTTATGAACATTAAAGGCAGTGGTCAGTTGTGTATGCCATACTTAGGTCCCTATAGGTCAGGAACTGTCAGCCTCTCCACATGTCCCTACATTCCCAGTCATCTAAGTCATTGACCATGGCTTAGTATGGCTTAGTATGGCTTTCTTCTTTAAGGCAAATCTTCCCAATACCTATCAGCTTCTGACAGCCTACCAGCCTCATTCTCCCTGGGCCTCTGGCAAACAGATGCTAAAGAAGCCAGACAAAGGCCTCGACCACACACACACACACACACACACACACACAGAGTTTACCAACATGTGGCAGCCTGAAGTCTAAACCTGCATAGAGACCCCAGAAGCACATCAGCCCCAGAGCCTGGAGCAGAGAAGAGAGCTCCAAATGCAGCTGCTGAGGGGGCTGGATTCAAGCTCATTCCTTATATTGCTCCTAAAAGTCACACCTGCTGGACCTGGTAGCTCGGGGCTATAATCTCAGCTCTTTAAGAGGTCAAGGCTGGAGAATCATGAGTTCAAGGCCTATCTGGGCAACTTAGTAAGAACCTATCTCAAAATAAAAAGTGAAAAAAAGGACTGGAGATATAGCTAAGTACTAGGGAACCTGCCTAGCATGTACAAGCACAACAAGACTCTAGGTTGAACCCCAGTTCTTGCACCCAGTCATGTCATATCAGGTTCACAGGGGCCATTTTTGTACTGTGTCCTCAGCAGTGGGGCACACTGGGCTGGCCCAGGTCACTGTATGCTTCTTGCAGAAGAGAAAGTAGCCAACAGTTACCAAATCCCACTGCCTGACAAGAACTATGCATGCTATCCTCAGCAACACCTGTGTATTCTATAAGATCCACCTTAGGCATTGTGACCTGCATCTGGCCAACAGAACCAAAGACAGAGAACTGGACGAGGCTCCAGTACCTTTGCTACTATGCCACCCAAAGTTTCAAATGACATAGGAAGGACAGGAAATGCTAAAGTTATCACACTATGTACCAGGCTCTCTGCAACTGAACGCACTATGCAGAAGAGTTGAATACTCCATTCTCTCACTCACTCACTAGAGGAGCCAAACAGAACCTACAGAAATACAGTAGATATCACAGAGATACTCAAGGCTGTTGCTCTTGAATTTCACCCCTAGAGTCTATCTTAAGAAAGCAGTTCAGCTCAACCAGCTTTCACAGCACAGTTCAATGGAAGTGACATGAATAAATGAGTAAAATGAAAAGGAAAGTATCTGTCTAAAGAATGGTTTAGACAGTCTCAGAAACCTCCAGTCAGTAATGCTAGATAGCACCCCCTGCCGAAAAAAGAAAACAAAACCACTTTAAAAAGATAAATGTTGACTTGTGTGTATGTATGTGGTCACCTGTAAGTCAGAGCTCGTACGTGGAAGGTGGAGGGAAACTTGAGGGAGTATGTTCTCTCCCTCTACTATGTGGGTGGCAGGCTTGGTGGCAGGGCTTCTTTCCCTACAGTGCCATCTTGGCTCTTTGTAGTTTTTTTTAATAATCATTCTAAGACCAAGAGGAAACAAAAGAGCACTTGTAATAAACAAATGCTGGAATGAATCACAAATACTCTATGGCCTTTTACAAGTATGGCACGTGCTTTGTTAGGGTGGAAGATGGAGAGGGGATTATTATTACTGCTGTACACACTGTCTTTGCAATGCTATTTAGTGCACTGTCAATCAAAGGGAGGGGAAGAAAGAAAAGGAAAGCCTCAAGCTTGCATGGAGGAAGGGCTCAGGAGAAGGAGGGCTAGGATGTGAAGGATAAACAGAACCATCCTACAAACCCAGAAGGAGGCAGCCAGGTGGCCCTGGGGACAGGAAGCCCTCCAGGTGTAGAGGGTTGTAATTAGCCTCGTGCTAATTACAGAAGTCTTACTGGTTTATTAATTTTTTCTGACAGACTCTGAATGAAGACTGATTCTTCGTTAAACTAACTCCATTTCAAAGACACAGCTCTAGATGCCCAATCCTCTAAACCCCCAGGACTCAGTTTTGGATTCAGATTTCTTTAAGGGACTGGCCACCAGGAGTTTGACCAGGCTCTAGTAAGTACATGGGCACAAATTGAACTTGCTTTTCGTTGTTGTTATTGCATTTTGTTTTTCCTCTTTTGGGGGTAGGTCACAAGGGTATGGGCAGACCTGGAAGGATTGGGAAGTAAGTATTTGAAGTGCATGATAAGAAATTCCCAAATAATCAATAAAAATTTTATGTTGGAAAACAAACAAACAAAAAGACACACAAGTAAATGAAAATTTAATGACAGAAACATACACCCAGGAGAAGTTAAGATTCCTGTCTTAACTTCAGGACAAACTGGCTTGAATAAGCAAGTGGACTACACTGTTTTCTTCACTGGGAAATATAAGCAGAGGTGCCGAATGTTCAGCTTACATTTAAGGCCTCCTAGGTATCCCCCACTCTGGTATTACCTCCTCAGAGCTCCAAGCCCTAGCCAATTTAACTGTTAGCAGGCCCCATAAGTTTTCCTCACATCCCACCCCGTATGACTCTGTTCAAGCTGTTATGACCCTAAAAGTCCTCCTCACTCTTCCAAATGCTTAAGCTCCATCCATCCCTCAAGCCCATGTCATTCTCAAACTCAAGCCAATCCTTCCAGTTCTGGACACTGAACCTCCCTAAATGAGTTGCACAGTCTGACGTATGGTGATGAACACCTAGGTAACCAAAAACCGACTTTTCTACCATATTAAGCCATTAGCTTCTTATGAGCAAGGACGCCTTCAGATTTCTATATGAACAGATCACAACACCTGGCGTATAAGGCCTTCAGGAAACACTTCACTGTGAGACAGGGAAAGCACCACACAGCCTCTGTGGGAAGTCACCACTTACCTTGGCTGCTCCTGTCAGGCAACGCAGAGGCAAAGGCACACTGCTCTGTGGCCTCCTGAAGGTGAGCTGTGAATCTTGCTTGTGGGGTTTCTGGCCTTCAGGAGATTCCAACCTCCTCCCTAGTTGACCATAGTCTGCTCGACCCCAGGTAAACATCTTGCCAGTTTCTACAAACAAACATGTTTTGAATAAAGGTTACATTCTCCAGGTGTACTCTCAAAGGTAAGCAAATGGGTGACTAGTAAAATTGTGAATGTTTATCTCATTATGTTCCAATAAAGAACATGAGTATTGGGCTGGGAGGATGGCTCAGACTCCTCACCATGGAAAAATGAGGCTCTGAGTTCGGATCCCCAGAACCTGTGTAGTTCATGTCTGCAATCCCAGCACTCCTATGGAGAGAAGGGAGGCAGAGACAGGAGAATGCTCAGAAGTCTGTCAGCCAGGTAGCCTGGCACACACAGCAGCAACCAAGAGACTGTCTCAAACCAGGGAGAAGGGAAACACCCCGCATAACTGTCCAGTAACCATGGCATCACAAACAAACATGTACACATACATACACGCACGCATGGGGTGATAGAGGGGGGCAGACATTTTTTTTTAAGAAAAAAAAAGAGAAACATTGAATCTTTGTTCACCTAAGTGGGAACTAAAGTTTGGAGAAGCTAAACGGCCCCCAAGAACAAACAAATAGAGAAGACCAGCGCCAGCTTCAGAGGAGCATCTCAAGCCCATGGTGCTCTTGTACAGGGAGGACTTCATGGGTAAAACTAACCATGCTTGTGGGCCACCCACTGTCTCCCACCACCACCGCCCTCTGCTTTGCCCAGATGCCTGATCTCAACTCTCCTTCTTCCTATCCAATCCAGGGGCCTTGTATCCTGACTACAGTTTCCCATTCCTAAAATCTTGTTTTCCCCTCCTGGTAACATTAAGGACTCCTCCTTTAACCAATGGAGCAATCCTAACAGGCCAAGGCAAGCGTATCTGTGTGCTAGCAGAAAGGGAGCAAGAGGAGGAAATTGTAAAGAGCCATTCGGAGCCAGAAATGCATCCAGTTACCCAGCACCATGTGGGAAGCCGGCCAGCGCTGCAGATGACAGAAGAAAATGAGGTTTGGAAAAGGAGCAACGGCCTTTCATTCCCCAGATAAGAGAGATTTCACCAGATTCATTCAGTTGTACCAAGTGCTGCCTTTGTTATTCCAACAGAATTGCAAAATACGGCAAGGCATAGATTATTAACAGATTCTTGCAATAAATATGCATAACCATGTGCGCCATATAAATTATCTGTGTTTATTTTAACAAAGAAAAATTCTGCTGAAGAAACAAAACACCACGTAATGCATATTAAATCCAAGACAAAGCTACTGTGTTTGGTATCAAAGCTTCATCTGGCCTCATATGAAACATATGGCTTCCAGTGCAGCTAAGAAACAGCCCGAGATGATGGCAGAAATGTCAGAAGACCACAGACATATGGGCTCTGCAGGGATCCATTCTTAGGTTCAGCAGGCTGGCAGGCACTAAGGTAGAGACAAAGAAATCTGACTTCCAGGCTTCCTAGGATAGGAACGGTGGTCGTTTGAATAGGAATGGCCCTCACAGGCTCCTATATTTGAATGCTTGGTCACCAGGGAATGGCACTATTAGGAGGTGTGGCCTTGTTGGAAGAACTATGTCAGTTGAGGCAGGCTTCGGATTTCAGATGCTTAAGCCAGGCCCATTGTCTCTCTCTTCCAGCTTCCTGCTGATTCCAATGTAGAGCTATCAGCTACTTCTCCAGCACCATATCTGCCTGTGTGACACCATGTTTCCCAGCATGATGACAATTAGTATACTAAACCTCTGAGTTGTAGTGCTAGTCCTAGTTTAGTGCTTCCTTTATGAGAGTTGCTGTGGTCATGGTTTCTCGTCACGGCAATAGAACACAGACTAAGACAGGAACCAAGCCTGTACAGCCCACAGGGTACTGGGAATATGCAATTGGGAATGTGGCACTGGGAGCACTGGTCCCCTGCATATCTACATGCTTTTCCTTTTGCTGTGGCTACCATTTCCTAACCCAAATGAACTAACTACCACTCCAGCTGCCCTTCATTACCTGGCAATTACAGCTCTATCAAGTCTAAGGTCCTATGAACCCTTTCTTGAACTCTCAACTTTCCCAGGAAAGATGAAACTTACCACCTTTGTGTTCTCTAATTGCCATGATGACATGTAAGTTAAGAAAAGGAAGCTCGGAGAACTGGCCTGTTTGGGGACACACGGATAAGCTGCACCTCTTCAAGTGGCCCAGGCTGCATTCATTATGGCTCAAGTCACTGTAACCATGAAACCCTCCTCCCTCACTTATGTGGATTAGACTGAGTCTGTGCCCAGTCCCTCTATTTAAACTGGTCAGAATTTATAATCAGACTGCCTTAGTAGGAGAGTCCTGAAGATGACCACTCTGTGTGTGTGTATGTGTGTGTGTGTGTGCGTGCACATACACATGTGTGCATGTAGAGACACAGCCAGTATCTTTCTCTATTGCGCTCCACCTAAAGGATCTTCCTGTCTCTGCCTCTCCAGCACTGGAATTACCGGCACACACCATTGTGCCTGACTTTTTTGTGTGTGGGGGACTCAAACTCGGGTTCTCATGTCCACACAGTAAGCACCTTACTGACTGAGCCATCTCCCTGACCACAGAAAGAACTGTCTTATCATAAACATCACCCTGGATCCTTTCTTTCAAATCAAGTAAAACATCTTAGAACTTTCTGTTATTGATTATTGATGTCTGAGACAGGCAAGACTGCCAGACTATGGTGCCATCATTATTACATCTCCAATGGCAATTCGACCATTCCACTTACACAGCACTTTCCACCTTAAGGCACTTTACAAACATTAACTAATTAATTTTCATACTCTCTAGGGAAGTCATAGACATTCTAGAAGAGACAAGGCAGAAAGCGGGCCAACCCAACAGCCTCAAACATAAGTTTAGTATGCTCTTCTCTGAGTTTGCTTATACTAAAAACACTGTACACAGGGCTCACAAGGGAAGAAGATTCCTCTGTTAAAGGACAGTAAGGGATGGCCTTCTAGGGAGAAAGAGGTGTCCCAAGACACCAGCTCAATGAAGCCTCATGACTGATGTAGATGACTAAGATAATTAAATGACTTGAGAAGTTAAACAACTCAGTCGAATCCAAATGGTAGATGACAGAATAGAGGTTTAAACCAATGGATCAGGCAGACATGGCTCAGTGGTTGAGAGCACTTGGTTCCTAGTACCCATATCAATTGAGTCACAACCACCTGTCAATCCAACTCCAAATGATCTAATGCTCTCTCTGACCTCCAGAGGCACCAGCACTACATAGCACTCACACGCACACATGCACAAACACCTAAATCTTTTTTAGAAGATGTCTATCTTCTGACCCCTAGTCTGATGGTGTCTACAACAACGATATCCATGTACAAGGAGGCAGCATCATGCTCTGTGTGCTCCACAGCTTCTCCCACCAGCAGGACCTCCCAGAAGGCCATGCACAACTCAGGACTCAGCTGCATTCGACATTTAGATTATAGCTTTATGTCACTGAGAATAAAAGAAAATAATCTACACACACCACACACACACACACATCTCATTAGTGCAAAGCAGACAGACATGTGTCCTAAGCTAAAGCTCCCTGTCAAATACTCAAATACAAGGAGATCAGATCATAGAGTTTACAAATGAGCCTTTTCCTTGGAGTAAAGAATTACATATTACTGTGATTAAAAACTAGGTACATTAATGTCATCTAGAAAGTGTAGGTCCATGTCTACAGATAAATGATACATGAGAGAGAGATGCCACAACAGCTCTAAGTGAAGTCAGCAGTGCGGCCTAGTCTAAAGAAGTGAGCCTCCACATGGAAGAGAAACACAGAAAACAGCAGGGTGAGCGAGCAGTAAGGACTAGAGAACATCCTGGAGGACTCTGTTCAAGCTGGAACTTGGAACTGTTTTGGGTGATGGAATGAATGCCATTTAAGGTGAACTCCTGGGTAAGAAAAGAAACCAGAGAATGAGGAGGGTACAGAGGAACAACAAGAAGATAAGCAATGCAGAGAAACCCACAGGTCCCATGGGGAGCAGGAGCAGGATCTCAGGAGGGAGTCGGGGTACAGGACTGCCAGGCTCACCTGGGCACAGGGAAAGAGCAAGTAGTCCCTACACTCCATCACTTGTCACCCTTTATCAGTGACAAGGTTTTTCAGTCAACATACGTACTTTCAGTTATTTTATTAAAATGGACACTTACATTTCACCCTTTATAAACTGTGGCTATGTGTCCTTATTCTAAAATATACAACATAAGCCCAGCACAGTAGCTGACACCTGTATCTGCAGACAGGATAATTGGTCTAAGGTAGAGGCAAGCTTCGGAGAGTTGCATAGGGAGTTCCAGGCTCACGTGAGCTACAGTGTGAGACCCTGTGTAGAATACACACACACACACACACACACACACACACACACACACACACACACACACACACGAATATAGAGAGAATAAAATTGTCATGAGAAAACTAGAGAAGAAGTGGTAAGACTCATCACGCCCTGGTCCCTCACACTTACTGTGGAAACCACAGCAAGTGTACCTGGGCAGACTGTGGACCTAAACCAGGCATGGGGCTTCCTGAAAGACTGTCCATCCATGTCCTGAGACGACAGTTGGCAGCCAGCACTTCTGGAGCACCCACAGCATGCTGGCACTGTTCTAAGTGCATCGTCTCAGTATGCTAAGTGCATGGTGTTTGCTCCTCCACCCAGGCCGAGAGGGAGGCAGAGATGGACTCACAGGGACATGGCGCCCAAACCTCAGAGGTGTAAATGAAAAGAAGGAAGCGGGCCTAGAAACAGAGCCTAGGATGTGCCAAGGCCTAACAGGGTTGAAATCATAGGGAAAGGGGAAGAAGAGAAAAGCTGTTATGGCTTGCCCCACATTAGATGGGAAAAGAGATAAACAGCACACGAAGATTACAGAATTTCATTCAGGACTGATGGAGGTGGCGGGGCCATTAAAAGTAGGAGAAGGTGCAGAGATGACCTATAAAAGTCATAAAAATTATTTCATTATCAAGTCATTTAACTGTCCTGAGACCTCCTGCGAA